AAAAAAAAAAAAAAAAAAAAAAAAAAAAATATTGTCATAGTAGAAATTATTGTAATCAATCAATTATTATTAAAAAATAAATTAATGATCTTCACATGTCATTACTGTCAATCAAAAATGTCAATTATTATATACTAATGATAGTTCAATTAATGAAATTTGACAGGTGTCATTCACATGTATCATGTCATGTAAAATGTAAGAGAATATCAAATTTAACCTTGAATATCATCTTCGTATACATTATTGGAATCAATCAATTATTATAACATAAAAACTTTCCGTTGAGTGTTTGTTTGTTCTACTTATGCCTCTCTGTTTTCCTCTGTTTTATAGCTTGATTTATTGTCTCATATATCAGACAAATGTCGCCCACATATTTATACAGTTTTGTTTCATTTTTTTCATTGACCTTTCAATGTTATTTACTCTATCTCCAAACATAACAATTAACCAAAGTAATATATATTAATTATACATTTTCAGATTGTATAACAAGTACTTGCACGAGTTGTCAAATATAATGAACTTTGACAGTTGACAGTCATATATTCACTATAGACCGACTCCATACAGTTTGGAACTAATTTTGTACTTTTCACTAAAAATTTAAGTAATATTTTTGACACTTATTTTTAAATAATGATTTTAATGTACATAAATTACTTTACGTGTCTAAAGTAATGTTAATTTATTATAAATTTGCTGAGGAAGGAAAATGCTACACAGATGTGAAACTGTGCAATTGCTTCTAAACCTGAATCAATTATCTGCGACTAATGTGCCGACGTTTTCCGCTCCACGTCTGCACATCCACATACACACATATATGATGGAGATGTTCGGAAAACTTCATTATAACTTTGTAATAACATATAAACTTCCAGGTCTTTGTAAAACGATAGGAATCCGGACTAAATTCGTCTTGTAACTTGTCGGATGGAAAATCTATTTATATTATAAAATCAGGACAATCAATCTACTTGTAAAATAATTTAGTTGAAACATTTTTTTTGTGAAACAAATTTTTCATATAATTTTGAAATTAAAAAAAAAGTACATAATTTTTCAATGTGACAAATACTAAATGAATTTTAATTTAGTTCCAAAAATTTTGAGAAATTGACAAAACTGATTACCCGGACTATGCGAGGTGTGCTATACTTTACGCTACTTTCCTTTCTAAATTGATGTTCCAGTGAAAATATCTATAATATTAAGTACAAAGTCGTTGTATTTGCAAATTGGATAGGATTTTTAAAGGGGAAGAGAAGAATGAAACGAAGAAAACAACAAAACAAAAATCTGATGCACCGAAATGCAGTCGAGGTGAGTGCAGTGCACTTGTGGGCACTGCGAAACGGCCAATTATTGTCGTGTTGAGGGAGGTCGGATTTGCGCAAATTGCAGATTCCCGTTTATTTTCAAGCGTCGGACGGCTATTTCACATGCTAATAGAGCAATTAATATTTTAATTAATTGATGATGAAAAGGGCGGGCGGCCAGGCGCGCCGCCATCGGCATCGACGATGATCATATCATCATCGAATGCACTCGCTCCGAGCATAATTGGATATCCTTATGTAACGAATTTCATTGTGAACCCTTGCATCCGCACACCATTATAACAGATTCATTATAAAATATTCTTTTTTAATTGCACATCATAGAAAATCCAAAAAAAAAATAATATCTTTTTTGTTTTGTTCAATATTTCATAATCATTATATAAAATGTTAATTTGATTTAACATAAATTAATTAAGAAATATCCACTCACAATTAGTTATTTTGTACATTATATAAAATTACATAATTTTACACTATATAGCATGAAATAAACACTTGTCGAAAGTTTTGACTTGCAAAATACCTCTCATAGTGTGGACTAATCGAAAACCTTTAAACTGCATAAAGTTATAGAGTACAAAATGAGAAATTACCCCAAAATATATTAATTTACTCCATTGTAGCAAGTGTATCAATTCCAATATTTTTCATGTGTACACATAATTTTAATTGTTCCTTACATTACCTTGCCCTTTACTTTACCCCATTAAGGGGTAATTTACCCCGGTTTGCCGACTACTAGTATATAGTGAAACTATCATTTAAGTATAAAACATAAAAAATGATATTAATTATTTACAATATTTTAAATAAGATTTAATTGATTAACTCATTTGGATAAAACAAAGTACTGTTAATTCATTTCAATTTCACTTTGATTGCGTCATTGTGTATGAAGTGTTGTTGTTCCATTATTTTTTCCGCTTTCATTCCGGATGGATTAAGATAGTCCCTAGTGTTCTCTGCTTTTCCGTTTAGTTCGGATCAAAGAGATCCCGAGGCGAATTGCGGTTTAACCATTATGCATATTTTTTCTTACGAGCTTGAAACGTATCGTTTTTCCCTTAAAGACTTTTTTCCCATATTTTTTTTGTTCTCTAGTTGTCCCCAGTTTTCATTGTTGTCTTTCGTTTTCGCTTACTCGGATTGCAACGAATAACCGTTGATTCCACTGATAAAGGCATTAACTCGCGCTGATAACGCGCATAGTTTCGTATAGACCCGGAGTCTATTAATTGCGAAGTTCTCACCATTTACAGTGAACGTATGCCAGTAACGGTCGTACAAGTGATTTAGATAATGGTTATTGTACACTCTCTTTTATGGACCGCAGTAATAATCCGCCGGAATTCGGGATTATTTTTAAACTCGAAATACAAATTAAAAACTGTTTGAAACTTTATTATTTCCTACATTCTCAGGATCATTTATAAAAAAAAAAACATTATCCCTTTTTTTATAATAGCGTAATAATAACGTTTTATAGCGTGAAATATAAAACGTCCTTGAAACGAGTATTACTGTACCCGTACTATCCATTATATAACAGCGTTTCTCAACTTATGGGTCGCAAAATGACATCTATCACCATGTGTAAAAGCCTACATCTAAATGACATTTAAATATGTCATTCAAAATGTCATTTTTGACAGTTGAAATATGTCATAAAGAATTAACCAATTCAGATGAGTAAATATGACAGCTGTTAACTTGGGTCGCAGTACAACCAAAAACAAATATATTGGGTGGAGTTGACAATTAAATGACATCTGATGACAACTAAATGACATTTGACAGTTAAAATAAGACATGAGAGACAAACCAAATTATGAGTGA